GCGCCCTCTTTAAGATGGATACCATGGTAGGGCTGCAAGATTTGTAGGGAAAAATTCTGAAAACAATTGCAAATGTGATTTAAAATGTGAATTTCTTCAAAAAACAAAATTAAGCTTCAGGTATGCTGTGCTTGTTAATAGCCAGGGCAGCATAATTTGGCCAAAATGTTGTGATAAAATGATAATACACATATTTATAATTATTAGAAAATAATATAAAACAAAATAATACTGTAATATTTCACTGCAGAATAAAAACAATTTAAGATTTTTTTAAAATGTAACAATTTTGAAATATATTTCAGAAAAATAATATAATGAATTTTATTTTACGATTCAACTGTAAAATTACAAATGTTGCTTTCCCAAATGCATGTTATAAGTGCAGTGCTCTCCGCAGTGATTCGTTCTGAAACAAACAACGCATATATTTGACTAAATCGCAGAAATGGTTTTATTTCGATGCATCACAGAGGGGCTCTGATTGCAGGACAGGTGATGAATTAATCACGATCCACAAACCTACGTTTGCATAATAATGCCTGCCATGGACATTGGTTCTATGAATATTCACATTTAAAACAGCTGAAAAGGACATTGTGACACAAATGAGTATCCAATGAATTCACACGATAAGCAAATAAGGAAAAAAATCAGCAAGTGAGAGAAGAAGCCAGTCCGCAGAAGAAGAAACAGAGATCAGACGGCGCTAACAAGATCGAGGTGACAGTGAGAGGGAAAAAAAGAGAGAATGGAAGAAGGGTATTGAGGGTCAAAAAACAGAGAGGTGAGAGAGAGAAAAGAGAAATGAGGCCTCTTTCTTTCTACCTGCCAGCAGTGCGTGACTGGTGTCTCAAGAAAGCTCTAATCCACAGGCAGCTGCAAATCAATCACAGCGGGTGTATATTTCAGATATAGTCCTGCTGAGAATATCCCACTCCACATGAGTCTCTAAACTCAGACCACTCCACAAGCTCAATTGGCCCTCTCTTTTGGACGTCTATATTCAGTGTATAGGAAACAAAAATCATTTTGGGAGAAGTGATATTTTATTTGAATCGGGGGAAGTTAAGACCCTTTGTGACCACTTATGGCTTTAACAAAGGAAAGTGTCATTTTACAGTAATTTTGTTCTTTACAACCAAGATACCAATAAAAAGCATTTACAGTTAATATTGTTATTATGTCATGCTACTCTGATACCTGAAAACTAAAGCAACAGCAACTGTCAGTGTATGTCATTTTCTTTTTGTTTGTTTTTTGTGAAAAAGAAAATCAAATGTTATGAAATGTAACCATCAAATGGGATTAAAAAGGCTTAGTGATATGCAACCTGCCCAAAATATTGAATTTTGTGGCTTCACACTGCTTAGCAATTATTATGGTTCATGAGCCCATATCATGCAATGAAATACACTAAGTTCAATCATGACAACTCTGGGCATGTTATTGAATATGGCAATGTTAATTAATGTATTGGTCTTGGCGGACTAGATCTGCTGCTGCTGATTATTGCTACCACTGCTGCAGAGCAAGTATGGGCTTGCTACTGCTAATATATACACAGACATCCTGCTGTGAGCATGTAAGATATGCTGCAGCTGCTGCATTAAAGCTGCTGTAGGTAACTTTTGTAAAAAAATATTTTTTACATATTTGTTAAAACTGTCATTATGTCCTGACAGTAGAATATGAGACGGATAATCTGTGAAAAAATCAAGCTCCTCTGGCTCCTCCCAGTGGTCCTATTGCCATTTGCAGAAATACACGCTCCCGGTCAGAAACAACCAATCAGAGCCAGGAGGAATGTCTTAGCCATGTCAATCACGCTCGTGTACGCGCTGATCACACCCCTCTCTTGCACAGCGCGAGCCGTCGTTCAAACTCAAGATTGCCGGCGTGCTGCAGCTGTGCTTATGACGGAGAAACAACCTAAACTGCCAATTCTCGAGTGACACCTGCTCAGAAAACAAAGAGGTAAAAGGAAAAAGACCGATGACGATAAACAAGCGAAAAATAAAAAATTACACAGAGCCCATTCAGGGCTCCAGACTAACTTTTCCACTGGTTGCACTGGTGCCACCAACTTTCTCAGTTGGTCGCACCAGCATATGATTTGGTCGCACCTTTTTTTTTTTTCTACATGCCATGGGATTAATCAATGCATGCTGATGAATAGTGGTTTTAATGGACCAAGGCTAGCAAAGGCTTTCTGGGTTGCAGCAGAAATACCTGTAATATATTAATTATCATTGCCAAATTTCTGGATTTTCATGGATTTTGGACACTAATTTTAATCTGTAATTTTAAGCATTTTACATTTGAATTATATACAATCTATCTATTTACATTTGAATCATATTCTATCTATCTATCTATCTATCTATCTATCTATCTATCTATCTATCTATCATCATCTTTCTATCTTTTAAAAATCATTAAACATTCAAATGTATGCATTACATTTTAAAAGATTAGAGTATTATAATAAACTGATACAGAATTTTCGTTATCAAAGTTTATAGTTGTAACTAAAAGCAGAAATCTCACACTCCTTACTTCTGCATTTTATAATAATTTCCTTTTCCTCTGTCGAGCGATCATGAGAGTAATCGCTCGACAGAGGAAAATATAACCGCTGAAAAGACGTAGGACAAAGAGGAAGGGGCTCTGTGTTTCGTGAGACCATTTTTATCATTTGTATATGCCTTAATTTGTGAATTCGTAATTGGCGCGTTTCACCATCAGTGTGCAATGCGCGTGACGTCTACGTTCGTCAATAAATAAACTGCACGTGTCTTGCGGAAGAACATTGTAATCGGAACTTCTCTCCGTTAATGTCTATGGCGAGTCACGCAGGCACTGGGCTACTCCGCAGCCGAGACGACCCCGGGATAAAATAGTCCGAATATAAACACTTATTATAGGCGTACCGTAGTGATTCAGAATAAGTCAAAAACACGGTTTGGAAAATGGATTCATGATGTAGCCTACTCGTTCATTTTGAACATAAGTTACGGACTGCAGCAGCTGATACAACGGCGTTCTGTTGCTCAAGCGTCCACTCGCACAAATGCGACCACATAACATTTTAACTCGCACATTCTCAAAAAATGGTCGCATATGCGACCAATTTGGTCGCAGTCTGGAACCCTGCCATTGATTCGGTGTCAATTAACTCTAGCCGCATAACATGTAGATAAAATGTCACGCATTCTGCTAAGCAACAATTGAAACCTGCTAATTCACTGGCTTGTCATGTTGCTGAAATAATGTACTAGCACACCTTATCTAGCATTATATATCGCTAGAATAATTACTTACATACTGTAACGTTAGTTACCGTTATATTAACGTTCTCTTACTAGCTATTTATAACTTATAGAAAGAGTGCAACGTTATAAAGTTACATGTATTGCAAAATACATAATGATTTGAGGACCAAGTTTGTAGTCAAAGTATGGGCAGGCCATAGTCAATGTAAAGCATATTGTTGACGTTTAGTCCCTATTAGTGAATGTGCCATATAACTTTTTATCCGCCGTTATCGGTGGCCCTGTTTACTAGCCTGCGCGTTCACGACAGGCTCCGCTGTGGAGGACGAGCTGTGGAGGGAGGGCTGTAGCGCAGCAGAGAGCAAGGGGGTGGGACCTGTAAGTTGTGCTTGTTCAAATTTTCAGGCTAAGTCAACGTTTTCTCAAAACTCCCTACTGCAGCTTTAATAGACATACATAAATTACATAGCAGATCTAGGCAGGTGGAGCTGGGGGAGGTGGAGGAGTTCAGAGGAACTCTGATAATGCGCTGCAGGACTAGATTACAGCGAAACGTGAAACAGACTATTTAAATGTTGAACAAGCAGTCTCATTGGCTGCAGGATCAGCAGAGACCAATGAGCTTGTGCCCTGCGATAATGATGCGATTGCTAGCGGATTGCATGTACAGGACCTATCAGCCTGTGCTCTCTATGGTTTCATGACTGAATACAATATTTATCTGATGGACTCCATTTATCAGTTTCTCTTTGTGTTACCTCCTTTATGGCAGTGAAATTTTACCATGGTAACATGAACATGTATTTGTGAGTTTCAGAAGGAGCTGCTACAAAGGAATAGAGATGCCAAGTTGGTGACAGTGCCATTATAACAGCAGAGGGGACTGGTGAAAGACACTGGCAAAAGACACTGGCAATTAGAGGCAATGGCCCATAGGGTGTTCGGTTTGTATCAGCTCTTAGACAGAGGCAATAAAAACATCTGCAGACCACAGGAGCGCAAGCCTTCAGAAAACAGCATTAAATAGGCCATATGCTGATATTTCATTTGGAGTCTTCTCTGGACTAATTCAAATTCAATACTGAATGCAATTCACAACATTTGACAAGTGATGCCTGGAACATCTGCAAAATAATACAAACCCTCTGGAAACACAAGATAGAGAGGAAAGAAATGCAAATACAGCTGAATTGAATGAAGGAGCAAACATTGATCAAATAAATGCTACCTTGCTGGGGATAAAACTTATTTTAAAGACTTTTAAAAGGTACAATACAAACTTTTAAACGGTAGTGTAGTGTTCTGCATTGTTATGTTTGTATCCAGCTAAGCTATACAAATGAACAAGTATTTGCTATGCCAATAAAACACATTAAACTGAAACAGCCATGAACATGAAAAGTCTGCCAGAAAGCAGATTAAATCAGACTGGAGACATACTACAGCGAAGCTGCAGTTGCTGGTCTTGTTCAATTGCCATGTCTAAATAAGGCTAACCCGTGGAGCTGTCAAAAAACGAAATCTAGCATTTCTTTTTTTGTGAAAGTCCTGCTTGCTCCACAAAGCAGTTTCTGTTTGAGAACCCTTGAGTGAATCAAGCATTTGAGCAAAAATTAGGTCCTAGCAGTCAAGCACATTTCTCATTTTTTTCTTTAAAGAATCAAAGCTACTTTTTCTGAATGTAAGAGGTTGCTCATGAAACAAGACAGGATGGTCGTAACTTACTGTTGTTTGTGTGAGAGCTCTTGCTCCTTATTAACCAGATCTTGCTTAAGGCTGGCCAGCATCTCCACTGACACGTCCACTTGCCGCGAAAGCTCTGTGGCCTTGTCCTCCAGGTCTTGTTTCTCCTGACAGAGCCTCTCACTCTCCAGCTTTGCCTTTTCCAGCTCCGAGCTTTTCCTCTCCAGCTCCGCCTGCAGACGCCCAACACGCGCCGAGATCTTTTGCTCCACCTCCTCCGACAACTTCTCGAGCCTCTCGTCCAGCTCGAGCCTCTCAAACGCTCGAGCTTTCAACCGAGCCAAGCCCTCCTCATAAGCCGCCTCCACCGCACTAGCCGCCACGTTAGCGGCCACCGCCACAGCATTGTTCCCTGTGGAGGACAAGGTGTCGCCGGAGCTCATGGCTGTCTTCACCAGGATCTCGCCCAGGGGAAACTCCACATTGGGCAGGTAGCAAGCAGTAGACGTGGGGGCAAGACCAAGCTCTTCGCCAGAACAGGGCAACTCGCGGTACGGAAAACGAGATTCGGCAGCGAGGGCTCCGTCGGCCACTAGGGGGAGCAGCGCAGCAGCGTCGCATACGCTGTTGGACTTCGACAGCACATACAGGGTCTCGTAGGTGTGGTTGTACTCCAGATGGGCGCGTAGAGAGGACAGACTTCGAAAGCGCTTGTGTTCCCCACAGCGAGGACAACGGTACGGCAGGTCCAAAGAGGCCATTCCACGCTCCCGTGGCTGCCACGATGGAGCAATCTGCTCACGCCACCAAGCGCTGCCAAGAGCAAGCAGGGACAGCGGCCGGGCACCACAGAGGAACACTCATCTCAGATCCGCTGGGATTGCTACAGGCTGAGCGAGGAACAGGGGGTCATCACACATGCTCCTTCTGAGTCACAATATCTTCAATTAGTTCTTTAGTAAGGTCTTGACTGCTGTTAGGCCTCTTTCTGGCACTTAATCGGTCTTCCTCAGGGTCAAAACCTTTTGTCCTAGTAAAAGAGGGAAAAGGAACAACACAAAAAAATTAACAAATATTACAAAAATGGTCACAAAAATGTCTTTCTGATTTTGATATTAAGCAAACTCAGTGCAGACATGGTTGCTACCTGACCAGTGGTGGAGGAAGTACTGAATCTCAGTACTTAAGTAAAAGTACAAATAACCAGAGACATATTTACTTTAGTAAAAGTAGAAGTACCACAATGCCAACCCTACTTAAGTAAAAAGTACCTGATTTTAAATGTACTTTAAGTATTAAAAGTAAAAGTACTTGCATAACAATTTATTCTCTTAATGTCTATATTCTAATGATTAATTTACAGTTAATTCTAACTCATTCAACCTAATACTCATATAATGATGTTCAATATGATGGAAAAGCAGTTATATTTTAAGTTTTTGTCACCATTTCTGAACAAGCTTGCAATTAGGCAATATACACATCAAGCTTACTATATACTGTGGTGGCAATTTTAATGATATTCATTGATCTTTAGTTAAATATAGGTGATTCAAAGAATGTCACATGTGTGTCTCTCACTTGTAGTGAGAGAAGATTCTGTTTATGTACCTGGGGAGGCAGAAGAGGGAGACACTCCAGAGAACAGACGAACAAGGACCTCTGACCTAGATGTCAGAAGGCCATTTGGTGCAGGGGAGCTTAGTGGGCCAACTAGTGACGTCTATGGAAAACTACTGGGAGGAAGGCTCTGGGGGGAAGAAGGCCTTGGAACTAAGATAAAAGATAGTTCAGTCTGTCTGGGGGTGTGTCACTCTTCTGCACAGGGTAACAACTGTGTATTAGACTGCTCCTATTCTTGCAAGAATAAATACTTCTATTTTATATAATTTGACTCTGAGTGTCTCTTACGCAGTGATGTTTGTTTGAGATGAATTTTTGCCACAACAATACCCTTACTATATACGGTATATATATATATATATATATAATATAAACATATATTATGTTAAAACGCCGTATATGACGGCGTTTGGCTGTAAACGCGATTCATTTATGGCGTAATTCTGAACCTCTTGGCTTGCCATACTAATCCTAACCAAACGTATAATACACACGCACCCCACATCACTACTAAACCTACCAATGCATTTCCTATGCATGTAAAAACTAATTTTCGCGTATAAATTGCACGATAAACACACTGCGTGCTATAGAGACGCATTTAGTGTGACCGGGTTGATATATCTATGGCAACCAAACTTCACTGGTGAGACAGAAACGTGCGACGAACGGACGGTCAGGATGACGTTTTGGCAGGGGAAAAACTGATCAGAAAATTTAACGAAAATGTAACAGAACGTTGTAGAAATGTAGTGGAGTAGAAAGTATAATAATTGCTGCAAAATGTAACGAAGTAAAAGTAAAAAGTATGCACTATTGATTCTACTTAAGTAAAGTACAGATACGTGAAAAATTTACTTAAGTAAAGTAACGAAGTATTTGTACTTCGTTACATTCCACCACTGTACCTGACACATCTAAAAAACTGATGTCAGCTCACTGGAGGCACACATTTATATTTGTGTATTGCAATTTACTGCAAAGATAGAATTAACCATGGGCTAAATATAAATCTGTTCCTGAACTGGAAAACATTCCTTTTGTCAATTCTTTCTAAATTCCACTACTCTGCATGCACGAAGTAGCAAAATGAACAGTTTTATACAGTGGTAAAATAACCACAGGACAATTTAAAGAATGAGTTGAGTAGTACATGATTTTAAGTTTTCTAATCTCTCAGAGTGGTTTCAGCCTCTAAGGAACTGAGAATTTACTCACATAGAGCTGCTTTAGCTGAATATGCATTTATATGCACTAATGGAAATTAACATACTCTGTCCGGGCCTCAATCAAGAAGAACTACACGGCCATTACTCAATGTATTGTTTGGCAATAGATCAAGGAACAGTCTCTTAACAACACTTAAACGAACAAGGAGGCACCTATTGTGTGAAATTAGTTGTAGTAGTTCACGTGCCATGATAGTTCATCTAACTATTCCCAAAGAGACACTTCATCAACATAAGACAAGTCTAAATGTGTAATGAATCCCCATTAGTGTTCCCCAGTCTTATAGCTGTTCCCTTTTCATTCCCATGATATTGTAAACAAAGCAGATAGCAATATGAAATGGAAATGATGAGTATTTATTCTACACACATGATCCTGAAATGAATTTCAGCCAAGGCTCCAGTGAATGAGAGAGTCTTATATTCATTCATAGGGGTTATACGAGCACAATTCCACAAAATGAATCCAAGATACTGAATCAAATAATCTGCCATGGCATGTCATGAGCAGTGCATTTAACAAGTAATATAATGGAGTACAACGGAAACTGCTAAATTGTCCAGAAATCTTGGCTCCGGAAGTTTATTTCTCATTTGTGTTCTTAATACAAATTTTTCATTAATTTTAAGCCTAGAACCAAACCAATCAACTGAGAGATGGATTACAAAATATATTTGATTCAAAGTTTTAAAAAAAGAAGTATTTGAGAATAGAACAAATACACAAACAATTGTGCACTTATAAAGGAATGAATGAGCAGTCATTCATAACCAAAGGAAACGAATCAGCAATGATACAATATAAAACTTTTAAAAATATATATATATATATAAAATATGCAATACCATTTAAAAGTCTGGGTCAGTAAGATTTTTTTTCAAAGAAAATACGTTTAATCTGCAAGGATGCATGAAGTGACAGTAAAGACTTTAACATTGTTACAAAAAAAATATTATGCAGCAAACATGTTGTCAACATTGATATTACTAAATGTTTCTCGAGTATCAAATCAGCATATTAGAATTATTTCTGAAGGATCATGTGAAAGTAATGATGCTGAATGTTCAGTTTTGTCAACACAGGAATGGATGAGCAGATGGACTGCATAGAGATCAGAAGTTTGAGATAAAAAAATTCATTGTATTATGAATTTACATCAGACAACACCCTACTGACAAATGATTTTTAACCACTAACCTGGTTTCCATTGCACAGGATGGTCTGTTATGATGGTTTTAGTCAGTTTGGGAAACATCCTAAACCTGCTTAAACCAGGTAAGAGCAGTAAAACACCTTAGCCTGGTTTACAACTATTTAAGTGACAAGTGCATACTCCAGGAAATTAGTCTGAGGTAATAAATGGAGTGTGATTTTATAAGGAGTGACATTGAGCTGGGTTGACTGGACTTGTGAACTATATCTCATTGTAGAAAACGTGAGAGGAGGAAAACAAATCTGACAACATGCTTAAACAATCATGTCAAAAGTAAACCTAGACCACATCTGCTGTCCTTGGCTCATCAAATCACGTTTGGTTACCTTAGTGGTGTTTCTATCCCACGGGGTACAAAACCTGGGCTCTTGCCCTGAGGGTGCTTGCTGATTTAAGGGCATCATCATTATAGCATCTTTTGTGACACACATTTTAAAGTGCAGAAATACAAGAGAATCCTCAATCTGGGCAATCAGATTCATTATGTGGATGTCTTCATATGTCATTCTGTCAGGAGTGCACATCATTATAGGTACATGGTATCCTTCTTTGTCTGTCCCTATTGTGCCACAAATGATCTCTGTATGGGTTTGTCTCTCTCTATAACCTCCTTCCTCTAGCTGAGGAGACAAAGAAAACATTTTCATTGCTAAGGGGGCTTGAAGACTCTCACATCTCAGATCTGAAATGGGATAACAAAAGACTTTTGATTAAGGCCTTCTTAGCAAGCATTAGCAGCAAAAACATAACTAAAACCATTAAAGGGCTCTTTTAACAGCAGCCATTTAAGACTGAGATATAGCCTGCTGCTATGAATGAGCGGCTATATCACGGTCATCATTCTTGCAATCAGCTCTGACCTTGATGACAGAGAGCCGTTTGAATCTTGCAGACAAACTGCTGCTTTCAAGATGGAGGTCCATTGTTGCCACGGATACAAGCTCAGAATGTGAAGCACAGTAATAAATGGATACAAACAAGCCAGCCGGTAATGATGAAACCTCAGAGAGAGGCAACAAGGAAAGAAGGATGGGGTGGATAAGTCAAAGAATGCAGGACGAATGCTGGAATGGACTGAGAAGAGAGTAAATGACAGCGGATTGGTTTGTGTGGAGATGGGCGGATGCAGAGAGCTCCAAGAGATTATGTTCCAATCATTGAACTAATGAGAATGTTGTGAATTAATAAATAAATACAGATTATGACATATATATATATTTGCATTAGGGATATATTGTTACCATATTGATTATTGGCTGATATTAGGATTTTTTTAAATTTATTATTTTACATTTAATTCTTTATTTTCATATTTAGATTGCCTTTACAGTCATCTAATGCTCACTTAGGGTATGGTATGTTCAAAAAGAAGAGGGTACATTTAGTCCTGGTTCAATTAGCGTTCACATTGTCATTCTTAACACTGAACATAAAGATTTTAAATAAAAAAAAAACATAAATAAATGCTTTTATGATGTATATTTTGCGACGGAACTTACTGAACTTACGAAACAACGCTGTGTGCTGGGTCAAATGCACTTGTTGTAGTTTGTTCATGTTCCTGCTTAATGTTACACTTTGGCTGTGTCCGAAATCACCCACCTTTACCCTATATAGGACACTATTTGAGGGGACAGCCATTTGTAGTTGAGTGCACTCATTCAATCCCACAATGCACCGCAATAACGAGTGTACAACCGATGTTAGCAAGAGAATACCCATAATGCACTGTGACGGTCGTGCCAAATTAATTCCCGTGTCACACCAGAAGATGACGCCCGCAGCTGAATCATCCATCTATCCATTTTCCAAACCGCTTGTTCAATGTAGCTACAGCGTAATATCATACAGGTATAAATTCATTTTTAATTGGTTATTAAATTGTTTAATTGTGGTTTATAGATAGTTTCCATGACAGAGTTCAAGATAAATCTTTTCATTACTACTGGAGCTCCCAGTTTGCG